ACTAATTATATTTCTTTCCAGGTTCGTTACAAGATTCTTCTCGACTGGGTGCGCAATGACGATGATGGAACATTGGGTAAACTTACAACCCAGCTATGGGAAGAGGGAGAAAGGCAGCTTGTAAAGGAAGTTGCCATTATTTATAAAAAGAACAAACAATTGAACTAGTTTAGAAACATTTCTACAAAAAATATAAATGTGTACAGATTATGGCATAATATTTAATTACTTATATATACACACATCACATCATTTTATATACACATCACAATTTTAATTCTTAATTATGTTATTTACAATATATAATTTTTTTGGAATAATAATATACAAGTAGGACATATATTTCATAAAAATTGTTTTATATAGTAGTCATTTGTAAACATAGAGCAACACGGACCGCCGACGGACCGGAGGAGAGTATCCATACACAGGTGTTTCCCTCTGTCAATGTACAAGACCACGTGGTCCTGTGTACAATGAAACTAGTTGAAGCCGCACTGCTCACTAGACTAAATCTAGTTGCGAGACTGAATCGACGTCCTACAAAAAATACTAGTTGTTCAATGTTTTAACTGCAAAAAGAGATCTGCCACATCAAATTTACTAAAAGATTGCGTTATCAGAATCAGTATCCAAGCGTATAGAAATTGTTTTTTTTCAAAAAAGCATTTAAAAAATTTTACTGAAAAAAAATTAATTTGCAAATTATGTGTGGTTGTATTATCTCTGCATTGGCCGAGAAGTAAGAGGACTGTCAAAGACCCCGTATTACCGATACTAGTGTGAATTAGAGGAAATAAAACCACATATAATTTGAAAATTAGTTTTTTTAAATGTGTCTTTTTGAAAAAAAAAAAACTATTTCTATACGCTTGGATACTGATTCTGATAACGCAGTTAATGGGAACCACAGGGTTTTTGTTACATATTGTATAAGTAATTTTTAAACATATTATTAGATACTATTTACTTCTTTTTAAACTAAAAAATTATAATAATAACGATAATGTAGTTTTGGATTTGTTTACCAACACAGGCTTGCCTTCATACAATTTGAGTCTGTATACGAGTTATCGCTGTCACCGAGCGATAGTGTTATAAATTGTAATATATAAATGTATTTAGGAAATTGTTATGTGTATTGTTTTAATTCTTATGTGTGTTTGGTAGCGACAGACGATTTTTTTTGTGTGCGCAGATTTCACCCCGCCCTGACAGACAGTTACGTATCGCATCGGGAAAATCGCTAACTCTCCTATGGTCAAACGGTGGCCCGTGTTGTTCTATGTTTGTCAATAACCTTGTGTGTTATTTTGAACAAAGGTGTTCAAACTAAAATGTGCCATATTTCACCCTCAAAAAAATTGAATTTGCTTAAAATAATTGCATTTAACAGCATCCAAAATCAGTGCACGATCAACAAATTATAGTAAAATTTATAATAAGCAGTTATTAGAATTAGCAAATTTTCCTATATTTTCACGTGGATAAGGCGTGACCACGGGGTAATTCATGTAATTTGATAATATTGATATATCTTGTGTTGCCGTGACTTTCTTCTTTTCTTATCTTGATCTATTGGTTGACATTCCGGATATTCGCACTAAGCGCTATTATAATGCGCGCAGCCAAGAAGTGGAATGTTTTTCAGAGTACCTATAACCTAGACCTTTTCAATATGCGTGTTAACAGGCTTCTCCCGGGAAAACTCGCTCCATCATAGACCTCATCTTTTCGCCGGGCCAGGAGATCAAGAGTGAGCCTATTTTTAATTAAAAAAAAAACTAGTACGTAATATATATTTTAATTGTATCTCGTGTGTGAAAGTAACACTTTTACGTTAGAGAATTTTGGGCAAACACTTTACAAATACTACATTCAAATACATTATAGCAACGATTAAGAACAAGAAAGGGTATTTGGTCAAAACAATATCCTATTAAAAGATTTTCTTTGTCTGCGTAAAATGTTTTTTATACTTAGTATTTTCATAAACTATATGTCTTGTCAACTGGTAACGCAATTTGTAAACACATTGTTGAATACGAAAATTAAATAAGATTTGTTATAAATAGCCGGAAACTATTATTCCGCATTCTAAAACCGACTCGAGTCCCGACTTGAGCGTTTATAAGCTGCCAGAGCACCGATTCGAGTATAAAGCGACAACTCGAGCGTTTTATAACACTAACTCGGGACTATCCCCTAAGTTACTATATTGGCACTTAAAACGATAGTATGTGCTCAGGATCACTTCTTAAGACATTTAAATAAATAGTGACTCTTGATATATTTACCTACGAGGGTTTTTTTATAGCATATCATTTCTGATACTGAAAAATGTAACATTAGCGTTTTCTTATGGCGAATAATTAATCTGAATATTTAAATAACATTTAAAATATACCTACCTAATATTAGATCAGAAAACTATTTTACAATGTTTTGCATATTTTAAAGTAGATAAGCACTAGGCACATTACTTACACTACTGTGTATCGTGTCTACGAAACTGAACATATAGGTATTCAGGTACATGCGTATCAAATCCGATATTACGTACGACTTGAACAAGAAATTGAATAACCTAGGCGACGTGAGTAGTGGGCTTATGTGCATTCCATGTGGTGTGCGCCAAGCCGGGAAGGGTCAAAGAGTACACAATTTGAGCCCGAGCCATTTTGTGAAATCTCAAAATGCCTGGCTCAACTGACTCTTTAAACAATTTATTACCAAAATCACTTAAAATACACCAGGCTTAAACATTCCAAAAATTAAAAAACATCTCATTACAGCATTACAAATCCACTGCCAAACAAAGGCTTCCTTCAAGGAATTCCACAAAGCAGTCTTTGATATGTCATGACTGGCAGCACGCACAGGTCGTGGTGTGTTGTTTGTTTTAAAATTTCCGGGTATTTTAGGTAGTATTTTAAGTAAATATAGTCCTAAATTAATTCATTTAAAACTGATCAAGTCACGTGCTCAAAGTACTAACTGTGATTAGACGAAACCTAAAATTATTTTGTTAGAAATATATTGTGATATTTTATACTATTTATTAATAAGAGGTATTGCGCGTTTATGTCTGAAACTCTAGTCAGAGTAATTTTGTTAATAAAACAAGTATTGTAAAAAATCACAACAATGTTGACTCTGATGTGTATATTAAACTATTTTACCGTTTATATTTGTAAATGTATAAACGTTGTATACATTGCAATATGAATATTTTTTATTAAAATTGAATTAAATAAATAGGTATATTTTAATGTGTTAGTTTTTTTCATGACCAAATAGAAAGAAGACCCTATAGTAGTCTAAATGATGATTGCATAACCTGATTGGAATTAAAATAAAGATATTATAGTCAACCAAATCTAAGAAATATCTTTTGATGTTTCACACTATTCATTTCGCAACAACTTTGCACAAGCGTACTCACACGATATAAAATAACCACTTACGTAAATCTGAAGAATTATGACGTTATTTGTATTATATTATAACGTGTTTAGTTTTTTTTTTGTTGTTTTGTTAAGTTGTTTTGTAATATATATAGTTGAAAGAGACATTAAAATAAAAATTTACCTAGTATTCGACCTGAAGAAAGAGAAAGCGTGAAATAAGTTTTGCTAGAACATAATGTAATAGTGGACACTATAAAAGACAGCTACAAAAGTAAAAACACTCAAGAAAAACGATTAATTAAAGATTTTTACCAAAAGTGATAACCTAATAAATACAGTATGAAAACTAAGATGGCTACCTATTTATGTCTTAAAGGAAAAATTCGTCACACTAAACAGAAAAATAAAAGCCCATTAATACAGACACAGTTAAGAAACTTTTATGAAAGGGATGATGTGAGTAGGATGACAGCAGGGAAAAACAAAGTAAAGACACAAAAAAAAAAAACAGAAAGTATTTGCTTGGCACTCTACATAAATTATATCAGAAATATAGAGAAGAAGGAGGAAAATTATCATTTTCTACTTTCAAAAGGTACAGACCCTTTTATGTATTACCACCAAAAGCCGAGAAACGAGAAACTTGCGCTTGCAAGAGGCACGAAAATTCGCAAATGAAAGCCACGTCATTGAAGTCAATTGGATTAATAGCAACAACAGATCTTGATGAGTTACTGAGTATGGTTGTATGTTCTTCAAAGTCAAAGGAATGTGCTTACGGAGACTGTGATTTTTGCAAAAACAAACGTATTGATTTTTCTATGGGTGAAAAAGATCTAAACTATAATGTTTCATGGGATGAATGGATTTTGAAATCTCATGAATACAAACCAAAAAAAAAATTGTGATGTGACAAAGATTACGAAAAAAAAACGTCATAGAAAAAAAAACTGGTTCGCTAAAAATGCTCCTAGATGCCTTTCAAGAAGAACTGCAAACTTTCAAAATCCATTCCTACAATATCGTGCATCAGTACAAACAATATCGGCAGTGCATAGAAAATTTAGATGACCGTACTGTCGTTGTACACGTCGATTTTTCGGAAAACTATTCTTGCAAATTAGCCACTGAAATACAAGCCATGCATTTTGATGGGCCCAGACAACAGATCAGTCTCCACACTGGGGTGTTATATACCGAAAAAAGGTCATCAATCTTTTGCAAGTTTAAGTCCAAACAAAGACCACGGACCAGATGCCATTTGGGCACATCTCTTACCTGTGCTTAAGTTGGTCAAGGAGAAATTACCCAAAGTAGACGGGATTCATTTTTATTCAGATGGCCCAACTGTACAATACCGACAGAAGAAAAACTTTTATTATTTCGCAAAACTGACGAAAGAGTTCGGCTTTCCATTTTCCACGTGGAACTTACGGTAAAGGAGCCGCTGATGGTGTAGGAGGAGCCATTAAAAGAAAATCAGACTCAATTGTCGCTTATGGTTCAAATGTTCCTGACGCTAAAACAGCTTATGAATTTTTACAAGCGTCTGAAACCAAAATACAGCTTTTCTTTATACCTGAAGATGCCATGCTGAACGAATCAGTAGAACTCGTACCAGTACCAAACACGATGAAAATACATCAGATTATTAACAATGTTGACTCAGCTAACTCTATTTCCTACCGTTGTTTATGTTGCTTCTGCGAAAAGAGTAGACCAGGTTTTTGCGACTGTCTCAATCTGAAATCTGCGGACTTGCAAACAGAAATGTTAAATGAAAAATCTATTCCGTCTAAAACGTCTATAACAGTATTAGCTGACATTAAAAATACTCAAGAAAACAGGTCTTATTTTAATTTGAGACAATATGGACCATTCAATTTAAAACAAATAAACCTCAAAACAGACATTGCTCGCAAAAGTTTGAAAGAAAATTCTCATGACAGAATGAAGAAATGTTCAAAGAAAAGAAAAATAAAAGACATACACCTTAAAACAAATAAGAAACTTAAAACGGAAGAGGAGAGCAGTACAGACGAAGATATGACGATTTCTGTGCATGATACTTCTGATGAAGAGTATCACATTACAGATGATATCTTATCAGATGATGATTATCTGGATCATATGGATTATCAATTGAAAGAACAGAAGAACGTTACAAATTTAAGAAAAATATCAGACACAAGTAAAATAGAGAGAGAAAAAATAGAACAATCAAGCCATGAAGATAAAAAAAATACATACACTAGTAAAGAAACAAGAGAAATAAACATTTTTTCTAATGAAAATCAGGGAGTAGTTAAAACAAATTTAGCTGGACAATCTGTGATTGCTACGACTCTGCAGGATGATGAAAATAACTTTGACAATGCAAATAATGACTCGGAAGTGACATCAAAAATTAATACAGACATATGGAGGCTATCTTTCAAAGACACTGTACTTTTAAGGTATTATCAAAGAACCGCGTGGAAGTATTACATAGGATTCTTGGAAGACAGTTTTTAAAAAAGAAGGAAAATCTTATTTTACCATAAGATTTCTGAAAACCATTAAAAACCGGAGCTAAAGTTTGTAATTCAACATAATATATATATATATATATATATATATATATATATATATATATAGATATAGATATATATTCAAATAATGCCAAAATAATACGATTGTGTAATTCTAAGTACAAATTTTGATCTCTTTGTTTTTTAAGTTGTTTTATTAAATAAATAATTCTATCTATAATCGTATTTTATTTTAAATTCAATTTTTTAATTGCTTTATGTGCATCAAGCTTTACAACATTTCCAGTGTGTTACACAATTCCAGTGTGTTATCGTGTGTTACAAGTTCTTGAGTGTTATGGTACATTTTCTGTGAGCCTCACTCAGATATGGAAGATTTTAAGAATGAAATGAAAAAGATGATGACTGAATTATTTTCTAAAAAAAAAAGAACTTCAAAATATATCCGCTACTCAGAAAACTATACAAGAATCGAACCTAAATATCGAGAAATCTATTGCCTTTCTTGTGGCCCAAAACGAAGAATTTAAGAAGAAAATACAGTCATTAGAATCACAAGTAAAAGAGGACAAAAAACACATTACTCTGTTAGAAAACACAATTGAAGATCTTCAAAGAGACTCCAGAAAATCTAGCTTAGAGATAAAAAATGTGCCTAGACAAAAAGAGGAAACAAAGGAAACGCTGTTAAATATGGTCGTATGCCTTGCTAACGAAGTAGGCTGCAATCTAGCCAAGTCTGACATAAAAGATATTTATAGAACTCGTCCCAAAAAAGATTAAAGCATGAATACTCCCATTATTGTTGAAAGTACATCCACCCATATGAAAACGGAATTATTAAAATTGTGTAAGAATTACAACAACAAAAATAGTAAGATGAAGCTCTGCGCCAAACTCCTGGGCCTACGCTCTGCTGGGGATACACCAATTTACATAGCTGAACATTTAACGACAAAGGATTCCCGCTTATATTTCTTAGCCAGAGACCTTTCAAAGTCAAAGGAGTATAAATATTGCTGGACTGCCTATGGTAAAGTCTATGTCAGAAAACACGATGATTCTCCTATTATTACGATCTTAAATGAGGCTCAAGTACAGAGTCTATTGCAAACGTGACTTTTTCTAGGTATAGTTATGTCTATTGTAACTGTGTGTATTAGTCGGAAATATATACTGCTATACAAAATAACTGTAAGCACTGCATTGTTAGTATTAAGCATCGTTGTAAATAGCCAAAATGAATACAGACTCTCAATTCACACACTTAATACATTGTCATATTTACAAAAACAATATAAATTTTTACAGTATTTTTAGCTTTAAGTTACCTCTCTTACAGCAAAACTAAACTCTCAATTTACACACGTAATACACTGTCATATATACAAAGACTATGTACATTTGTTGCAGTATTTTTAGCTTTAAATTATCTTTTTTACACAAATAAAACTGAACTCTTAATTCACACACGTAATATACAGACATACATAAAAAAACTATATACATTTATCACAGTATTTTTAGCATCAATTTATAATTCATACGGCAATAAATCTGTAAAAGTGTTCTATATTAAAAGGTTTATTATGTACTTAAAATTATTTAACGTGTTACTAAGTTCGTACCGCAAGCATTTTTGTAATTGTTTAGTTTACAAAAAGTTACAATGTACAATATTTTTAGTAAATCGAATGTATAAGCTACAATATCATAAATGTAAAATCACAAATTTTGTAAACACACTTCATTTACATATAAAAATACATATAACAAACATTGCACCACACATATCTCACAGTATTATGTATATTTGTAACATTCGACCTTTGCTGTCTGTCTTTAACAATAATGTCAATGGACAAAAATATTTTCAATAATTTACAAGAATTGGACAATATAGAGATAGCTTCCGCATGTCAATGTGATGTAGAAAATTTAAAAAAATATTTAAAATTTACAACAACAGATTTCACAATTGTAACCCAAAATATAAGAAGTATTTATTCTAACTATGACGATTTTCAACTGACTTTAACTTCTCTACAAGTTAATGCCGACATATTAATTCTGACAGAATGTAGGATTCAATCTACCAAACCTATTCCACGTCCAGGTAACTATAATGACTATATTACTCATCATCATGTTAATCAAAATGATGGAGTAGTAGTCTATATTAAAAAAAATATTTCATCTCAAGTCAAGGAAATTCAGTTGACTCATGCATCTTGCATACAAATCCACCTACAAAACTTAGTAATACTGGGCATATATAGATCACCATCGAATCCCAACGCAGAACAATTAATTCATCAGTTCTCTTAGTGAGCACCTGGGCTCGTAAGAGCATTCAAATATTGTAATAACGGGAGATATTAATATAAATATTACACCTAGGCTTACAGAACAAACATACGAAATAACTAATAAGTCGAAATACTTAAATATGCTTTCTACGTATAGACTTTTACCGGGACATCATATCCCTACAAGAGAGAACAGCTGCTTGGATCATTTCATACTAAAATTAAATCTACAAACTATTTCTGCTGAGATTGCTGTACTGAACACTTCTATCACAGATCATGCTATGATATTACTCAAATTAAGCAATATTAGACAAAAAGTAATTAATTTTAAAATTAAACACAACACTGACTATTATAAAGCACTTGCCAGTCTAGCTCAAAAAAACCTGTCTAACCTTCTTTTTAGTGATAATCCGGAATATATAATACATCAATTAATTTACAAAATAAAAGAATCTATTGAAGGAAATACAAAAATTGTAAATATTTCTAGTAATAAGCGAAAAATTAAACCATGGATAACAACAGGTATTTTAAAATGTATACGAAATAGGAATAGTATGCAAAAGAAGCTAAGAATGAAGTATTAAAAATTGCAAACTTATATATTACAAGCTTATAATGAAGTATTAAAAATTACAAACAAAAGGTATCGCAACTATGTTACTAAATTAATTAAGAAACTTAAACGGGAATATGAAAGGAAGCTTTTAGAAATATCATCCAAATCAAGTAAAACTCTCTGGAAGCACATAAAGAATATAACCCATACAAAACAATCAAGTGTCAATAGCTTAGACCTGTTAAGTTCGAAATCCTCACCAGTTGATTTGATTGATAAAGTAAATGAGTACTTTGCTAGTGTGGGTAAAAATCTTGCCGAGAAAATAAGTACTAACGATCCTAATAATTGTTTATCTTTTTGCCATATTGATGAAGCACATAAAACTGTATTTGTAAAGGCACATTCTTCCTTTGTTTTGATTGAAACCTATCCGGAAGAGATCAACAGTATTATTGCAGGTCTCGAATCAGATTCCGCCCCTGGCTGGGACAATATTTCAACCGGATTTCTCAAGATGGCTAAGCAACTACTTGCCCCATCCTCTGCCATTTTGTTAATATATGCTTTGAAAAGGGTGTCTTTCCGAAGCTGCTGAAGCAATCTATTGTAATACCGATTTACAAAAGTGGAGATAAGAATGAAGTTGGTAATTATCGGCCAATCTCCTTACTGCCTGTGTTCTCAAAGATTTTGGAAAAGTTAGTTAACAATAGACTTATACAGTATCTCTCTAAATTTAAAATATTAGCAGACTCTCAATTTGGCTTTAGAAAGGGATGCTCTACGGAAGATACAGTTGCTGCGTTGAGTTCTCAAATTGTAAATACCTTGGATAGCGGCAGAAAATGTCTTGCTGTCTTCCTGGATCTAAAAAAGGCCTTTGATACTGTATCGATCCCCATTCTTGTTAATAAATTAGAACAGATTGGTATCAGAGGTATACCTCTAAAACTTTTAAAGGATTACCTCTCTGATAGGACACAGATTGTAAGAACAGTTCAATACAGTAGTAGCAATACAAATGTTAATTATGGTGTACCGCAGGGAAGCGTACTCGTCCCTACGTTATTCCTAGTATATATATTAATAATCTGTGTAGTATGAGTGTGAATAGAGGAAGAGTTTTCTCATACGCAGATGACACTGCGATATTATTTTGGGGAGACACTTGGGAAGAAGTGCAATTGATAGCGAAAAAACAATTAGCTAAGGTTGCTCGTTGGCTTGATAATAACTTACTTACTTTGAATATTAATAAAACTCAATTCATATGTTTTTCTATAACTAGCCGATCACAGCCAAAAGATGATTTTAGACTTAAAATACATAAATGTTACAATCCTTCACGCGGTAACTGTACGTGTACATCTATTTTCATACATAAAGTATCTGGGCGTTATGGCACGGTAATATTATCTATACAGTATTGTAACTCGGCCGTATCTGTCAAATAAATGCCTACAGCCGTGCGGCACGTAAACATGCGAAAGGGCTGCCTGCCTCCAGCATTTTTACATTTGCTTATTTTGTGTTTCTATTTAGTTTTATGATTGTAAATTATTGAAATAATATGTACTTACGTAACATAATAGCTCAATGTTGTAAATATACTTTTTTATATAAACAAATAAAATAGGTACTTTGTGAATTGAATAGGAAATGTTCAATAAAAATACGTGTCGTTTTTTGATTGGTAGATTTAATTAAAAAAACCATGTTTATGTTTGAATAACAAATCGGTCTTATAAATTTGCAACCGAAAAATATTTGCGCCTCGGCTGAGACTTACGAAATGCTTTATTATTAGATTTTTAAATATAAAAAAATCCGCTTTCTAATATAAAGCTAAAAATAATACAAATTAAAAATTGTTTTGGGAAACATGGACAACGTGGAGAAAAGGAATATCTTTTAATTGGTTATAGATACCTGCAGCTACTTTACAATTTATATGTTTGGTTTTAAATGAAGTTCAGATTTATTATTTCTTTATTTCTATTCTATTATTTGTTTCCTCCATTTTTTATATATTTCACAAAATCATCACTGCGGCACAGTCTCGACTGTCTGCATGCCGAGCGCATGCCGAGATCGAAGCGCGTAGGCATAGCTCTCGCTTCGTCCGTTTATATGAAGTTGGAATACTGTATAGATAGTATTACCGTGGTTATGGTGGATCAACGACTTTCCTGGTCGATATGTCGAATTAGTGTCTAGTAGAATTCGAAAACTCACTTGGACATTTAAAACTTTAAGATATGTTCCTTGTCCATACCTTTTAAATCAAATTTATGTAGCGCTTGCTCAATCTATAATAATATATTGTATACCTATTTGGGGGGGTACTTATAAAAGCTATTGAAGTTGAGAGAGCTCAAAGATGTTGAAAGTTATACATTTTAAGCCATATAGGTTCCCCACTAGCATTTTGTATTCATCTTGTGCGGTGATTTCGGTGAGGCAGTAGTACATATTACACTTACGGTAGTAAAAGAAGAAATTATAGTGTAGTTCCTCTATGCAGTACGAAAACCAACTTTGCGAAAAATCAATATGAAAAACGATCAGAAAACTTATATAATCAAATTAATAAAATATTGCAAATATATCCTTTAAAGACATACGATTGTAAGAAAAAAATAATGCAGTGGTTTAAGACACTTAATTACGGTCAAACTGAAGCCTTATTACAATTTATCCTATAAATGAATTCACTCACTGTCTTTTTCTCATACGTACACACGTACATACCCACACATACACACACACACACACACTGTTTATCTTATGTTAATTGTACTTAGTTAAGAGAGAGAGAGGGCCTTCTACCACAAGTATCTTTATACTTAAAAGAAGTCCTCAAACTCCTACTAATTTTAAGAAAATGTTGGAAAAAATAAACTTTCATTTCATTTCATTAACTAGTTGTACCTAAAATGATGAATAAATTTATTTTTAATCTAGTTTCAATCTTAAATTTTTATAATTGTGCCTCTAGAAATAAGCAGGAACAACAAATACGAAGAAACTGATAAATCTTATGTTTTAAATTATCCATCTTTAATTTATTCTGGTACTATTGAAACCAAACTGTAAATGATTACCAACTCTAAATAATCGATATCGATTTTTTCAACAATCGAATATTGTACGTTCCCATTTTTTTGGTTGGCATGCTTGGTGCAACAAGTCTGACAGCTGTCAAAATGTATTTCTTATATTTGGTTGACTATAATAAATCTTATTTCATGCAAATCAGCTTTTAATGCGTAGTATCATCATCAACACAAATTAGGTAAAGTTAAATATAAAAATATTGTCTCACGATATTTACCTGCACCATCGGATGGTGCACTTTGTAAGTTGTAAGTAAATAAGATCTAACCTTACAATTGGGGGTAGACGAGTTGTGATAACTCAGGGCTAGAGACGCTTCATGAAATTTCACAATACGCCCTGAGTATATTTCACTGAATTGCTTATTTACATGTTCGGTGGTGAAGGAAGACATCGTTAGGAAACATGTCTGCAAGATAAAAATCTCACCCCTGAGGCCGAGCTGCTGCAGCACAATAACCTTATGATTTTATGCGCTTATCCTATTTAAAGTGCGTACGTAACATTATAAAACAGTTGTTACTTGAACAATTAACGGTGATTCTTATTTTTGTCATTCATTCACCTATTTAAACTTCAAAATGACACAAACAAACCAAAACACACGTGAAGGCTGTACACAAAGCCATTTTCCGTAATACGTTCATCGTCTATCAAGATTTCCACTAATAACACTTTCTGCCATCGGGGTGACACCACTTAGTAATGAGGTGAAATATTCGACAGATTTCATAACGAGAGAAGTTAATTCGTTAGTAAAACTAAAAGCGTGGAGTGTAGAGGTAAGGAGAATAGTCTCACAGGGAGAATAGTTGAAAAAGTGCTCATCTGTAAGCAGCACAGAATAAATAATAGTACTACGTACAGAAGTATCACTCTTTTAATGTTGACTGCTTGCCGACGCTGATGCTGGAGTGTCCGTATTACTTTGCACATTTTCCTCTTCCTACGTTACGGTGGACTTTCCGTTGTTATGGAGGGATGTCAATAAAGAGTAACAAAATACATTGCGAAATATTAATTAGGTTACTTAGGTGAAATACCTATTCTGACTATGATCGACAGACTAAATTTTCGCACCTACGTGAGTTCCTTGCAAGGCCATTCGTCGGGAATCGCGACGCTTGGCTCGGAAGGAAAAGGTAGATAGTGTAAACAACAAATAATTAATATTTTTGTAAATTTTGGTTGTTAAAGTCGAGTAATTTGTTTTTGTTATTTTTGGTTTTTTTAAATTAAAAAATGTAAGTATGTTTAGATAAGGAAGAGCGGGATTTCCAAACACAGGCATTACTTGCTTAAATGGAGATCCCAGTCAACTATGTCATTCATTTAATTTTTGTGAAGAAAAATAAATTATTTTATTTTTTATTTTATTTATTTAAATAAACTTGAAATACGATTCCTAACAGAAATGTAATCGTATTCTACTTAGTTAAAAATTTTGTTGGTAAACAAAGTTTTGATTTCAGTGTTTTGTGTTATTTTAGCTTAAAATATTTTAATACAAAAGGCAAGTATATGTAGGTACGTAAGTAGATACTTGGATAGTGAAGTAAATTTCTACTAAATTTTGTAATAAAGTTCGTAGATATTAAACAAATTGTTACTTAATTCTTTTTTGCTATAAGTAATTATCTAACAATAAAAATTAAATAAATTCGTTTCATAACTTCCTACTAAAATCCTTCGGTAATAAAGAATGATATATCTGAAATATTTTGTTGGTCATTTAGCGTCTATCCACGCAACAATTATAGTAGGAACGACGTTTTGCCATATTAAAATTTATTAAATAATGGGTAATATACATACTTAATATATAGTTCTTAAATTACATTAAAACTTTTAAACTATTTTATCCTATAATTAAATCTACTAAACACTAAACAAAAACTATTTCAACAATATTTACAAAAAGTTATATACGTAAACAGCGTTAAAAAACTTTAACATTCATTCGCCTCCAACGCGCTAGCCCTGACTGCGTTATTTCGCCCGGGCGCGTCGCGATTTTAGGTAATTATTTCACGTAGGTAGCAAGAGTGATAGAGGCCTGGTAAGCAGTAAATAACAATTCATAAACTCTCCACAACAGCGCCAGAGTAGCTAGAGGGTATGACATGAACTTAGCAATTGTCGACGAAGTGAAGTTGAAGAAATTAAAATTTGTGGTGATTCATAGAATACTATAATACATACATAATAGAACGGGGGAGTGGGCGGAGCCCTTGTAGCCACTAACATGTCACTAATACGTCAATTCACACGTATAAATGTCAACACAATCAATCGTTTCCAATTTTCGTGTCAAGCGTCGCTGCATGCAAATTATTTAAAAAGTGGCAAATTGTGCAATAATTACGTGTCGAAAGAACAGCGGGAAATGGAATTTAAATAAAGGAGACATAGTCTACAACTAGTAAGTCGAAACTATTTATATTTTGTGAATATTAGAAACAAAAATAAAGAAACATTTATGTGTCAAAAACATTAATCAAAAGTCTAAAATGTGTTTGGCCAACCCTCTTACAAAGTAAGGTTGACAGCCATTCTATTGTGTATTATAGTATTCTATGGGGTTACTAGAGTAGTTTATGAAACCCACAGTATTTAAAACCCCAACTACTCACGTTGTCTAAAATAAATTAGTAAATAATAACCTAGAAAAAGTCACCGTTAAACACGTTGAGTGATTTTGAAAATAAAAATTATGTAAACAATAAAATAATTTTTATAAAGAATTATGGTGAAAGTTTGTGCAGTAAAAAGTTAGTTCTTTAAAATTTACCCTCCAGCTACAGTGCGCCACCCTTATTTAACATTTTCCTACGGACACTTTAAGCGCCAAATATATGATATTTTAAAAAACATCAACAGTCCTAGTTTGAACTGATCGGTTGAACTGACCGTGTGTGTCGTCCATTAGATCGATTTGCTGTGGTTTTTACAGATAATCACTGGAAAGGCCAATGCTTAACAAGAACGAGTCACTTGTTTAGTTTGGTCAAAGTAGAAATGGATTTTTGCGTAATAAGATAGGTATAGTTGATAGGACCGACAAAAGGTTATCTGCGTGTAGAGGGGCAGAAGGAACCATCACGTATGTAATATGTATAATTATCAGTCGTTGGCGAGATCGCATCAAGATGCCCGTTCCAGACAGAGCCGGCTTGAAAATTGTTCACATCGATGTAAAAGACATACGATTCCCGACGTCGCTTGGAGGACACGGGTCTGATGCTTTGGTAATAAATATTATTTCATATTTTGCATGTTTAATAATTTCTGTATTATATTGATATTTCATATTAATAGTTATCCAATCCAATATATATACTATATTCTCTCATTGTTATCTTTTTTATACCCAGCTGCATTTATAACAAACTTCAAAAAAGTAAACATTTAAGATAAGTACCTAAGTATAATAAGACACTATGATTAAATGTGTATGTATGACTGTAATGTCTCATCAATTACGTTGGTAAATTGGACAACCGCTACTCCGAATAAGCAAACCTTTTCTCGTATAGTCTCGTATAGTTCTGTCTTGAATATTTTTTTATTACCTAAGATATCTTCAAATACAGAAACTTGAAATTCTATGACCGGAAAACAAAATTCCACAAAGCTTAAGTACCTACCTACTACCCTTTCCTACATTTAAAGTTCATCTAGTTAGTAACATTATAGTAAAGCGTTATCCATTACGATTACAGCCTATCAAAAGTCAACAACAGATTTGCAATATTTGCTACTCTTGGTAAACGGGTTGTCAACCGGCATTCCTTTACTTATATTCAGCAGTTTTCAGGAAGATGCCGAGCCTTTTTCCTTGTTCAGCTTCTTGTTGCCTCTTGAGACACCCATGGCATAAAATGGGATAATGGGCATTCTTACATCGCCACTACACGGTTTAAAAAAGTGGTGTAATTTAAAAGCGTAATTGTTTTATTAAAAAATAATATTAACAAGTACCGTCAGTCTAACAAAAATGAATTCTCTTGGTATGAAAACATAAATTAAGTATTATAAAAAAAAAACAGTAGGTAAATGTAAAATATCTCCGATGCGTGGGGCTTCTGAGTCGAAGGTTGTATATTACAGGTATTATCTATGATCAGGATTAAGCGCCGGCCGTAATTTCACGTTATATAAAACCGGGTCCCTGCTAGCAGTAATGAAATGAAACTACATGTCTAAGAAATAAAATATTATGAGGAAGTGTATAGGAAGTCCACCAACACGCACTGGAGTAGCGAGGCAGAATATTATTATTGGGGTATCTATACAATTTTCTCACCTGGTTGGGTTCTATAAATATATAATTATAAATTAAAATGAAAAGATAAATATACATAAATATCAATAAAATAAAATGAACACAAAAACTACATAAATAAATAAGATCCAACCAGATGGGAGCCCTCGGCAGGGGAGACCAAACGGCCGAGGGTTAGGGGGGAAAGGGAAAGAAACCGGCGGACGATGCGGGCGGTATCGAGGAGCACCGCCTTCTGCATTTGAGCCCGGAGCGGTCCGTCACGGAGTCCCAGTCGCCTCAGATGACCCGAGAGGCTGACTGGGATTAGCCCATTCGCAGAACGACTACAGGAATAATTTCGGCCGGCAGACCACCCCACATGTCGGTCACCTCGTGAGCCAGGTACAGATATTTTGTTCGTTTCTCTGCTTCGGCTTTCACGAGGTTCTCGTCATACGGAATGGTAATGTCGATCAAAAAATATCCTTGACTGTGCCCGGTCCATCAGCAAAATATCAGGCTTATTCGCAAGAATAGTCCTGTCTGTGATGATGGCCCGGTCCCAGTAGAGCTTGGCGCGGTCATTTTCGAGCACGGCTTCCGGCAAGTACTTGTAATACGGCAATTTTCGGTCCACGAGACCGTATTTCAGAGCGAGCTCCTGGTGTAAAATTCTGGCTACTAGGTTGTGCCTGTGCAAGTACTCAGAGTTAGAAAGCGCCGAACAACAGGAGATGATATGCCTAAGTGATTCCCCGGGATGGCGACAAGCTCGACAGACGTCGACAGTGCCATCCTTTAGGATGTATCTCCGATAGTTGTTGGTCTTATAACCTGATCCTGTATTGCACAGACAAAACCCTCGGTTTCCCCGAAGAGGTCACCGAAACGTAGCCAGTTGAGGGCGGCGGCTGTATCTACGTGAGGCTCATGTAGAGCCCTGTAGTACCTCCCGTGGAGCTCCTTCTCCTTCCATACGGTCTCCCGGTCGGAAATGCTCTGTACTACCGGGTCTAGCCATTGCTCGTTGGCTAAGGATAGAGGGGTAAGTCCTTTATCACTAGAAATGACGTCATTATGAATGGATCATCCGATCTCGCCAGGAAGTAATGACGGAGGCTGCACACTTCGCGATTATGCATGGTGAGCGCGCTCAGGAAGCCACGCCCACCATGCTTTCGCGGCAAGTACAGCCTCATTACCGACGATCTCGGATGATGCATCCTATGGGACGTCATTGTAGTGCGGACTTTTCTATCCAGGGCGTTAAGTTCAGTCTGACTCCACCTGAGTATGCCAAAGGTATACATGAGGACAGGCATGACCCAACCGTTATATGCATGTGTCTTATTCACACCGGACAAAAGACTGTTAAGCACTTTGGTCAAGCGTGCATAAAACACGTCGCAAACTGACTGTTTCATACCAGCCTCATCGATACCGATATTCTGTGACATACCCGGGTATCGGTATGTTTCAGTCTCGGAAAGGGCCCTTAAGTTGACGGGCATAGATAAGTTTATGCCCTCAGAGTTAGCAACCCTTCCCCTTTCAACATGGAAGACCGCACACTTATCCGTCCCCAGCTCCATTCTAATAGAATTGCTAAATTCACAAGTGATGTTTAGCAATTCCATAAGATGGGAGCGACTGGAGGAGAATAACTTGAGGTCATCCATATAGAAAAGGTGGGTTACTTTTGCACCTCCTTTCCGAAGCTGAAATCCCCTCCCGGAGCCCTCCAGTAAAGTACTGAGAGGGTTCAAAGAGAGTCAGAACCAGATTGGACTCAGACAGTCGCCCTGGAATATACCCCTTCTTATCCTTATGCGGCTTTCCGCAGCCGTCATCCGCTCGCCTAGATGACAGAGGATCGTAGTCCACTGCCCCATACACTGCTCGAGGAAGTCTCGAACTGTACAGTCAATCTTGTACAGCTCGAGGACCCTCTTTAGCCATGTATGGGGCACCGAGTCAAATGCCTTTCTGTAATCTATCCAGGCGGCGGAGAAGTTCCGACGGTTGCGTTTCACCACTTTGCCAAAGACCGCGTCAATGAGGAGTGGTTCCTTGGTTCCACGACCGCCGCCCCAGCATCCATTTTGAGCGCGCGACATCACCTTATTAGAGTCCAGGTGACGAGCGATTCTCACGCTCAAAATGGATGTTGGTGTCTTGTATATGGTGGGTAGACACGTGATGGGGCGGTATTTGCTCGGGTCTGTGGCATCCTGATCTTTAGGAACCAAATGAGTGATCCCAGTAGTGAAGAGGCTTGGGAGCGACTTCTGGTTGAGAGCCTCTTGAAACTGTCGGGCGAGGACGATCCCAACGTTGTTGTTATTATTATTATTATTTTATTATTTATTGCATCCTTAACAAAATAATACAAAGGGCGGACTTAATGCCTTGAGGCATTCTCTCTCTAGGTGTGGCAATATAGAATAAGATAACACAATACAAATGATAATTAACTACATAATATATACAAACTACTAATAAATAAACTATACATATGTGAGCTATCCTTACATATATACAAATCTATAAATAAAAATATACCCTTAGAAATAGGACGAGGCCTGTGCCCAGCTTCATACACTACTTCATACGATACATTAATTTGATTCAAGCTATTCTGTATATGTCTAGATGTCGACACATCTAGTTAGCAAGTATTTCGTGTTTGTTATGATACCGATTTATTGATTGATACACGTTTTTGGTTAATGAAAACACGAGAGAGACAACCTCGTCAATATGATATTCGGTGGTCTCAGTGCTACGAGTGCACCTACCCCACCTCAAAGAAATTAGAAGCCTACTTTCAGTAAAGCTATAAAAAAAGGTTTCCGGTGCTTTATCACTATCACCTACAAGATGGAATACTAAATAGCCTGGAATTATACTAGCTCTATATACACTTAAAACGGTGATGCAATGATGATGATAAACACAACAGTGGATGTGACGCTGTTTAACGGTTGAAATAGGTAAGAGAGTGGTAGATAAGTACCGAGACGCTCCTAGACAGAAGAAAAACACTGGCAGTGTTCACTAGTGTTTCTTATGTCTAGGAGCCCTATTTTTTATGCCAGCTTTTTTAATTATTTATAGTTTAGTTTTAAATTTAATAAGATAATTAATGCTGGGCAACGGTTTCAGCACACCGATCCTAATTACTCCTGCGCTTACGTTACGATCACATCAGAAAACGGCAAGCAAGGATATGGATTAACATTCACATGTGGCCGTGGCACCGAAGTGGTGGTGTTTACTGTCAGAGCTTTGAAAAAATTTATACTAGGCAAAAATGCCGCAGATATATTTGCTGACTTCGCTGGCTTTTGGCGCGCTATTACAAATGACTCACAGATGCGATGGGTTTGTATTAATTTCTACATTTAAAAAACTATTTTTTATAACATCAATATTTACCTAAACAATTTTAGTAAGTTTTTCTATCGTACGAGACAATTAATAAATTATTATAACAATACAAATAAAAACAAATAATTTCAGTTTATTTATTTGATTTTAGATTGGACCTGAGAAAGGAGCTGTACACTTAGCTGTCGCTGCTATACTGAATTCCCTTTGGGATCTTTGGGCTAGACTGGAGAACAAGCCTTTGTGGAGACTCCTAGTGGATATGGAGCCTGAGGTAGAAAGCATAATCCTTAAGCAGTTGTGAACAAATAAATGATCGCGCTAATTTCTAACGCAGAGTAAAAATTGCGGACGATTTGCTACTTAATGTTCAAATGTCAAAATTCGCGAAGACTGCGGCACCGCGCTAAGGGACTTCTTTGGTTAAAAGAACACTTAAACTAAGACTAAAATTTACTGTCCAAGACTATCAATAAGTTTGTTTTGTAACAAGACGGGATAAGTTTATTTATTGGACAAACATTCTGAGCTTAATTTAAAAGTTTATAAGAAATATCATCATCATTACAGCCCATAAAAGCTCTGCTGAACATAGACCTCCCCCTCGTAGAGAGTATCATCTCTCATGAATTTGAAATAGTTGCCACTCTTGGCAAAACTGGTGGACAACCGCATTTTTTATTATTTTGAGTTCTCATCAGGAAGATGAAGCTGACCGTCTCCCGTTTCAGTTTCTCACTGTTGCCTCTTAGGACACGGTAATAGATTTACGACGTCAACACACCTTTTCAGTACGTTCAGTAATTGTCAACCAGGCACCGCTGTTGGGACTTTAGTACTGCCTAAATTTTAAATGAATCGAAGAATCCCGCTTATCAAAGATAGCGAAGATTCATCATAAACACGAACCAACTACTAAGTGTTTACGTCTTTATGTAAATATTTTTATGTAGTTATGTAAATATCAAAACATATCGAATATTTTTGTTATTTTATCATTGCAATTCATCAGGAGTTGGTGTCTACTATTGATTTTCGTTACATAACTGATGTTATCACTAAGGAAGAAGCTATAAAGCTACTGAAATCCAAACAGGCGAGTAAAATAGAGAGAGTGAAATATTTGTTGGAAAATGGATACCCAGCTTACACTACTCAAGTTGGTAAGGCTCCATGTAAATATATTTATTTTTTTGCTCGAACTATTTATGCCGGTACTACTAGAATTAACATTGTACACCAGGTTTAGAAACCCAACGCTAGATAAGTCAATGCACTACGTCATGATTTGTACTGTTCAGAGTAACGGGGTAGGAGAGTAACACCCGGGGGTTTGAGTTGGAATTAGAATACCAACAGGAATTACCAACAATTCTGTAAAAACGATATTGATTTTCGGACTCTTCAAGTTAACCTGCATTTGACGTCGTCTCTTAAGCGTTATGTCGAGCACGGGATGATAAGCAGAGTGCCTTTCTTCTGCATAAGCGCGTACACCGTAGACAGAGAAACCTATAGATAATATATAGCCTTCTTTCGCATTCGTACACGAAAAAGATAGATTTATGCATACGTCTTGCATAGAAATGAGACAGAGCGGTATGATTGTTTGTCCCTTTTTCCTTGCCGGTTTTTTTGTTTAGTAAACTACACTTTGCTAAACAACTTTGACAGTTCGTAGCGATCTAAGGAGTTTCCAAGTTGGTTTAAGTGAGAAAAAAGTGTTTTGTTAGCTTAAGATTGGTAAATCTTGTTCAGTTCAGTTCTTAGAACAATTAAAATTTTTATCTAAATATGTTTAAAAGTCATAAAGATTATTGTATAACCTAAAACTACGTTATCGTCCGTTTTCACTCGAGGCCACGCTAATCATTAGTCTATAGGTTTCTCTGTCTACGGCGTACACTGTGGCACTATATATATCTTGTACAATAAATAGCTCCGGACAGTATTCGAGAGTTGTACACGTCATCGAAATTTAGCTTGAAGGACATTTTCTTATTCTCTGGGCACTAGAGGTTAAGAATTCAACCTGCTTCATTCACTCAATCTTCAAGGTTTCTTGCAGATTTAAATGCGAAACGAATTAGGATCTGTGCATAATCTGACGGAGGCGAGGCAGCCTACTTCTAGGTAACTATAGTCAACCAAATCTAAGAAATACATTTTGACAACTGTCAAATCTTGTCAAGCTTCTTTCTCAAAAGCTTGTCAATTATTGCACCAAGCATGCCAACTAAAAATGGGAACGTAAATATTCGATTCTTAAAAAATCGATATCGATTATTTGGAATTGGTAATCATTTACAGTTTGGTTTGAATAATACCAGAATAAATTAAAACGGATAATTTAAAACACAAGATTTATCAGTTTCTTCGTATTTGTTGTTACTTATGTTAGTTCTAGTTAGTAGTCTAGAAGCACAGTTACAAAAATTTAGGAATGAAACTCGATTAAAAATAAATTTATTCAATCACTTTCAGTACAACTAGTAGGGATGTCTTTGTTTATATTAATTATTATTTAATTTTCAATAATGCAGTCAAAATTAATATCTCTTTCGAAGTCATCCATAATCAATTTTTTGTTTTTTCTACCACTTTTGCCCAATCATCCTTTGTGACATGGGCACATGCTTCAACGAATATTTTTATGCGATAATAACGAGCACACACTCCACCTGATGGTAAGTGTATGCCCATAGAGATACAAATTTATCCTCACTTAAGAATCAAAATGCAAATGCATTGTCACGCCTAAGGAATAAGATGAAATGCCTCAATTCCAGTAAAAAGGGTCTCCGGTTCTCTACACTCACCATACGAAACACATCAGCATTACGCTGGTATTCTGTGAGAGCGTGGTCCTGCCCTGGTTGAGCTGACCCATTCGTGCTACAACTATAATATAAGTTGTAGCGTGGCTCTACCACGCACAAAAAGTTAACAGTCCAAAAAGATAACGCCAAGTCACAAAATAGGAAGACAAACACAAAATCACAAAGTTACGTAAAGTAAGCTCTCGAAAAAGAAACAGAAACTTTTTTATTCAATATAGATTATGAATAATACTTATTGAAAGTAAATTTTTTTCATTTACCACTGGTTTGCAAAGAAAAACCTCTCTCCTGGGAAGAATCAGCAAGAAACCCAACGGGCCTAGTTTTTTTTTTTAGAATAAGAGCTTACAATCATGCGTGTTACAATTAACAACAAATTAGAAATAGCTTGGTAGCGATCACCCTTCCCAGGGGTTATTATCATCCATAAATTCCATAATATTAAAATAACCATTTTTATACAAACTTAAGTTTAATAAAGTTTTTGAACTTGGTGTACTTACGTCAAATTTTGTATATTTTCTGGCATTTTGTTGTAAAAGCGTATACATCGCCTCAAGAATGAATTACTGATTCTGTGGAATCGAGTAACTGGTACCGAAATGGCGAGATGTTGAAATTATGTACTTAGTGGTTATTTTAGTAGTAGCCTTGTATACGAATTTTTTGCCTACACAAATTGACTTTGACAAAGTGAAAAAAATAAACTTTTTTATTCATGATTTATGTAATTAAGGAATTTTGAAAATAAAAATTAAATTAAACAAATAATATATTAAAGAAATTAATGATTCGATTATTATGATATTTTTACCGATTATTTGAATATATTGCCGATTATTCGCATAACAATGAATTTTAATCATCCAAACACTACGGTAATAATATACATAGCGACATATCATTGAAACGACGTCAAGTAAAAAAAGTTAATACTGGTTATTTTTTAATATTATGCTTTGTTTGAAGAATTCAAATTTAAATTAGTGATAAAAAACTATACACCTTGTATTGAAATATAGATAACTTCATAATTCTTCGGATTTGCGTAAAAGGTTATTTTAAATCGTATGAGTACGCTTGTGAAAAGTTATTGCGGAATGATTAATGTGAAACGTCAAAAGGTATTTCTTAGATTTGGTTGACTATAGGTGTTTGCCATACTTCTCTAATATGTTGTCTTAGTTCGCCGTTCGCTTAAAGCGGCGCGGCGACCCGCATCATCAGTCTGCAGTCTTAAATGTATTTGTTTGAGTTTGGTCCATCCATTTCATGGGCTGTAGTAAGTAGCCACGTACCTTCAGGTAGAATAATAGTTTGTTTGTTATGTTGAAATATTAAACGACAGGTCACACAGTTATGCGAAAAAGTTATATATGAAACCGTCCAATTATTATTTTGAAAATACAAATAAAAAGTAAAATTACGAATGTTCAAATTTCCCTCCACATTTTTTTATAAACACGATCTCTACGTCGGAAACATTTTCAGGCGAATATTTATTACAGTTTAAAATCTCTTAAAATCGGAGGAATCGTTTGATAGACAATTACCTAAAACCTAAAACAAAGAGAAATGACTTTTTATGGATAAAGGCCCATCTAAGGCAACTGTGTACCGCTGGTAGATATAACATATTTCAACCATGTCGACAAAATCTAAGAGGCGAAGAAAGAAGTGGTAGCCCTTTGACGACTGTTACGGAAGAAAACACGTTAGTAATAAAAAATTTCATTGAACAGAATGCTCAGAATGCAGACAGAGTGAAATTAAATGAAGAGACATAACACATATTGCATTGGATCGGTAAATGTTTACGAAACTACACGAAAATGTTTGCGTGAGGTTTGATAAGATTTCGCGTCGGATGCTGTACGTTCTCACTGGTGCTCAGAAACGAGTCCGTGTGGAATGATGATGTCCTAACATCTATTATTTTGATATATTTGAAAATGATATACTGGCTTTTAATTTGGTCATTATTTGTATACCATTAGGACATATTTTTTACTAATTGGTATATCTGTCTGTCGGTCCAGGTTCGTAAAACTTTCTGAGTATCGACTATAACGACACCCAACGGGATGAGATAATGAAGTATTTCCTTCCATCATCACACGGCTGTCACACCTTTACTAAATACAAAGATAATAAATAAGTTAAATAAATAAGAATAATACATTAAAATAGGATACATACATATAGATATGGTTATGTTTAAGGCTGGCTGGGCTACAGCGATGAATTAGTAAAACAACTGTGCAATAAATACCTCAACTTAGGCTTCACACATTTCAAAGTCAAAGTCGGTCTCAACTTGGAAGACGACTACCGACGATGCAGCGCGGTACGGAAACATATCGGCGAGGACAAATTTTTGGTAAGAGGTCTCAGTTTTGTGTTTCAATAACTGCGAAATAAATAAATAAATATATATATATTGCACTAATTTATTCACAGTTGTGAGGAGGAATACACCATCTTATATATCCCCAAATGCCTATCTTATCTGCATGTTATGCACCCACTTGATTGACGTGCAATGAGACCTAATAATCTTCCGCTTAGCAGATGTCGCTACCGCTAGTGAACGACCTTGAGCGTTCGGTCCTATACAATCGACGCGCTACGCTACAGTATATCGCGAAAGAAATACGCCCAAATTTTGAAATTATCTCAATTAAAAAGACAAGAGAACTTAAGAAGTTAAATAAAACGTGAATAATATAGGTTTTTAAATTATCTATCCATTAGTGTAATCCACAAATGATTAGAGTGTTGCCTTTAGCGACAGATGCATGTAATCAATAATTTAAGTCATTTTTTAAAAGTTGATTTTAAATGTATTTGTAACACAGGCCCAAATCTCCCCCCCCCCATTAACATGGTAGTGGAATTAAATAATGATAGACTACCCCAGGAGGGTACCAGCACCCCTGGAGAATCCCTCGCTAAGCATCCACGACCATGTTTCTCCACTTCTGAGCGTGGGTGCTCAGGCTGCCCCGCGTATTCTGGGGGGGGGGGGGCAAAATTCCGCTCAAGACTACATCTGCTCGGGGCAACCGGGGCAACAAAACCAAGGCGACCCCTTATTGCAGAAATTCACGGACAGCGTGGCGCCCGTGAATTTCTGCAATATCAGGGGACTTCACTCTAACCTAAACGCCGTCCACTACCATCTCGAGACGGCGAGGCCGGCTCTGCTCTTTCTGAGCGAGACGCAGGTGTCCTCTCCGATGTCTCGTATCTCTCCTACCCGGGGTACAAACTGGAACACTCCTTTGTGCCTCGGGCTGGAGTTTGCGTTTACGTCAGAGAGGACATCTGTTCTCGACGCCTCGGCAGACTTGAAGGTTCGGATCTGTCCATCCTTTGGCTACGCGTAGACAGCGACGACCATCCGCGCGTCTACGGGTGCCTCTATAGGTCCCATAGCGGTAATGTCGAAACAGACCGACTCTTTGACCACGTCCAAATGGCTACAGATTCGTTGCTACAGCAGATCTCCTCCGCAGAGATCGTGATCCTCGGCAACTTTAACGCCCATCACGCCGAATGGCTTGGTTCACGTTTAACCGATCATGCGGGGGAGATCTGTTCATGATTTTGCCTTGGCATATGGTCTGACTCAACTGGTTACTTCGCCTACGCGGATTCCAGATGTGGAGGATCATGCACCTTCCCTGTTGGACCTTCTGCTGACCTCTCACCCGGACGGATATCAGATTTCCGTGGACGCTCCTTTAGGTTCCTCGGACCATTGTCTTGTTCGGAGTGTGGTGCCACTCACGCTGAAATCGCAGTTGCATTCTGCAGGCTGCCGCCGTGTTTGGCACTATAGGTCAGCCGTTTGGGATGGGATGCGGTCTTTCTTTGCATCCTACCCTTGGGGGCGGGTTTGCTTCTCGCCGGACGATCCCAACGTTGTTGCGGATTCTGTCGCTGATGTGGTGCTTCAGGGTATGGAACTTTTTATTCCTTCCTCTGTGGTGCCCATTGGAGGCAAATCTCAGCCATGGTTTGGTCGCTCCTGTAAAATAGCATCATGCTATAAGCAGGAGTGCTACGAAGCCTGGGCTGACGCATCAGCGCCCGGGATGTAAAAACCAGCGCTCTAAAAAAGAAGTATAATTCCGCCTCCAGGTCCTTCAAAAGAGTCATTGCCAAGGCAAAGTCAGAGCACATAGGCAGAATTGGCGAGAAACTAGTTCGCCTTCCTTCTGGAACCCGTACATTCTGGTCTCTCGCCAAGGCTGTCCAGGGGAATTTGTCAGCCATCTCTTCCATCTCTGCACAGGGAGGACGACTCACTGGCCCATACCGCAAAGGAGAAAGCCGATCTTCTAGGCTCATTCTTTGCGTGCAACTCGACCCTCGATGATGGGGGGAGTACGCCGCCGACCATCCCGCAATGTGAGTGCTCCATGCCGGAAGTGCAGTTCACACAGCGCTCGATTCGCAAAGCACTCCTCTCCCTGGACATCCATAAGTCGAGTGGGCCCGACGGAATCCCCCCAATTGTGCTGAGGACGTGTGGTCCAGAGTTGGCGCCGGTTTTAACGCGTCTTTTCCGGTACTCCTACTCCCTAGGCGTAGTCCAAAATCATGGAAGACGGCTTTCGTCCACCCGATCCCTAAAAAAGGCGACCGCTCAGACCCGTCTAACTACCGGCCTATCGCCATCACCTCCTTGTTATCCAAAACAATGGAGTCCATTGTAAACTGCCAGCTCATTAGGTACCTTGAGGATCACCAGCTGATTAGTGACCGCCAATACGGTTTTCGCCGTGGTCGGTCAGCTGGTGATCTTCTGGTCTACCTAACTCACAGATGGGCGGAGGCAGTAGAGTCCAAGGGGGAGGCATTGGCCGTTAGTTTGGACATTGCGAAGGCCTTCGATCGGGTTTGGCACAAAGCGCTTCTTTCGAAACTACCTTCCTATGGGCTTCCCGAGAAATTGTACGGTTGGATCACCAGCTTTCTTGCAGATCGGGGCATCAAGGTCGTTGTAGACGGTGCAAGCTCCGATTGCAAGCCTATTAACGCTGGTGTTCCACAAGGCTGCGTGCTATCGCCAACGCTGTTTCTTCTGCATATCAATGATATGTTGCAAACCCGTAACATTCATTGCTATGCAGATGATAGCACTGGTGATGCTCTTTACACCGGCCGAGCCAATATTTCTCGGGATAACGTCTCCGAGTGCCGGGACAAACTTGTGTCTGAAGTCGAGTCTTTGCTAAACAGAGTCTCGGATTGGGGGCGACTAAATCTAGTCCAGTTTAACCCCCAGAAGACACAAGTTTGCACGTTAACCGCTAAAAAAAACCCCTTTGTCGTATCTCCTCAGTTTCAAGGCACTCCCCTTGTTGCCTCAGCCAGTATCGGAATCCTCGGCGTCGACATAATCGAGTGACGTGCAGTTTCGTGGTCACTTGGAAGAGAAGGCCAAATTGGCCTCTAAAAAGCTTGGCGTGCTCAGCAGAGCGGGACAGTATTTCATGCCGGCACACCGCCTGCAACTTTACAAGGCGCAGGTTCGGCCGCACATGGAATACTGTTCCCATCTCTGGGCTGGGGCTCCACAGTACCAGCTCCTTCCACTTGACAGCATCCAGCGCAGAGCGGCTCGAATCGTCGACGACCGAGTGCTTTCCAATCGGCTCGATTCACTGGCACTACGAAGAGATGTTGCATCTCTTTGCATTTTCTTTCGCATATACCATGGAGAGTGCTCTGAGGAATTGTTCGGATTAATCCCAGCCGCCAAATTTCGTGAACGCACTACGCGGCAAACGTCCCGATACCATCCACACCATCTGGATGCTTGGCGGTCCACCACTGTACGTTTCAAGAGGAATTTTCTTCCGCGTACAACCTCTCTGTGGAATAGTTTACCACCAGCGATTTTTCCGGACCGATACGACCTGGGGACCTTCAAGAAAAGAGCTTACTCGTTTCTAAAGGGACGGCAACGCACCTGCAATTCCCCTGGTGTTACGGTTGATCATGGGCGGCGGTAGACACTTATCATCAGGTGAGCCGCATGCTCGTTTGCCCCCTCTTCTATAAAAAAAAACAAATTAGAACGTGGAATGTGATGATAGGATATCGAACATTAATAATGTGCTTTTAGATGTAGTTTATTTCTCATAATTAATGAGATAATAGTCTCTGAAAAAAGCACTATTGCAAGGTTTTTGTCGGGGTATCGCCTTAAGTGTACGCTAGTAATGTATAAGTCAATGCACTGTGACTGAGGTGAAGTTTTTTGTTATACAATGTCATTTAATTGAGAAGTTAGTTTTTAATAAAAGTTTATCATATTTTAGAGTATTAAGTATATTAATACACAAAACAACGTCTACATGTGGTTGCCTCTTTAATTTTTTGCACATAACTCTTTTTTTTAAATTATTTACTTACAGGAATATCCGTCGTTAGGTTTATTCATTTCTAATCTAATTAATATAACAGATAGAAACACTAACTTAAATTTTCGTAAAAAATTACTTCACCGCTATGAAATCTGTCAAATACTTTACCTCATTCAAAAGCGGCGACGCCCTGACGGCAGAAAAATTTGTGAATGCCTTCATTGCCTAGCGACAGAGTGAAATCAAAAATCTATACAAAAACTTATTTCGGAAAGAGGCTTTACTAAAACGTGGGCATTTCCTCGGTTCTCACCAACTGATCACCCATAGCGGTGGGAAATCTTCCAACTAATGTTAGCCACAGTTGCCACGCTTGGCAGGTGGGTTGGCAACCGCTGTTCTTTATAATTATGAATTGTTGTTTTGCTGCTGCCCATCTTCTGTTTCAGTCCCCCCCCCCTCCCTTGTCGCCTCTTACGGCACCCATAAACGGGACAATATTAATTAATGAATATTTTAACACTTATAAAAACTACACTGGTTAAATTATTTCTTTAGTTTCAATCATATCAAAATTGGTTTGTCACTTTTAGTTATGAATATATTAACTGAATAAATAACAAACTAACCGAATTTCCCAATTAATAAACTGTACTACTGTTTACTCTCATGGTTCTGTATTTTGTTTTTATAGATGTTGTAATCAGGAAGATGCTGCTTCTCATCTCCTGTTGCCTTTATCTCTGTTATTATATTACCACCCACGGGATATTATGTATCTCTAACACCACCAATACACGACGAAAAAATGTCAAAAGGTGCAGAGTATGCACGGAATCCTATATAACAAATATTTACGTGGTAGAGTCACGCTGCCGCTATATTATAGTTGTAGCATGAATAGGTCGGCTCGACCGGGGTAGGACCACGCTCTCAACAGAATACCAGCGTTAAATAGTGTTTCGTATGCTGAGTGTAGAGAACCGGAGGTCCTTTTTACAGGAATCGAGTCAATTCCATCTTAGTATTCAGAGGTGACAACGCATTTGCATTTTGATTCTTAATTGAGGATAAATGTGAATGTCTATGGGCCACAGCATCCACTTACCATCAGGTGGACTGTGTGCTTGTTTGTTACCTAATGCTATTAAAAAATAACTTGGCGGGTTTTGATAATGATAGCTCAAACGTTTACATCGCATAAAAAATTAAATTTTGTTTTATTTGATAGATGGTTGACGCAAATCAAGCTTGGGGCGTTAATGAAGCGATTGAATGGATGAAGAAACTGGCACCACTCAAACCCATGTGGATCGAGGAACCAACGTCACCTGATGATGTATTAGGGCACGCTGCTATTTCTAAAGCATTGAAGTAAGTGCTTAGGACATTATTCTAGCGTTTCTTTAACTTCGAACGAGAACCAAAGCCCGCGGCAAATATTCAAGTGGGTCGCAAGAGGACACCAAAACTTAAAAATTAATCTTATTTTATGATCCGATACTTTAGCATATCCCAATTAATCGTCTCCTTCATCGTCTTCATTAGCTCATCAGAGTCCAGCGCTGGACATGAGTGAGGCTCTCGCGTATACATTGCGATTGAAATAAGAATAGGAACGTCAATGACCTCGAAAGACCGCGATCTTTCAAGTCATTTGAAAAGTACAGCTTGCAAAGAAAATTAATTTTCGTATTAATAACGTTTTTTTTCCGCTTTATTTAACTGTGTTATTAGAACAAGGGTCTTTGAAAATACAGCTTGCAAATAAAATTAATTTTCGTATTAATAACGTTTTTTTCCGCTTTATTTAACTGTGTTATTAGAATATTTATATTATATAGTCAGTGGAATATTTTAAATATCTACATAAATTCATGTCCTATTTTTATAAGGGAAAGCAGTAGTGATGACGATGATGACTGCTCGGACAGTGATGCAGAGATGAGCGAACAATCGCTACACCGCACGTTGGTGCGTAACGTCAGTCCGGGTATCTTTTGTGGTCAAAAGTTAAATACCTAAACCGGCGAACAGCGTCAATGGTGCAAGATGTGTGCACTGAGATCGACAATCCGCCTGCCAAGCGTGGTGATTCTAGCAAATCCTATTACGGACTGAAGGTCATACAGAATGTACCGCCATCACAAATACAAGCAAAAATTGTGTTTTTTCACACACCGGCAAGACGTTACGTCCTTACAAACTTGTGAATATTCTAATTCCTAACCGTTTGAACAGGCTGATAGGAATATATGAGTCCCTTAAAAAGTTAAAAATGATTAAAACTACTTTTACGGATTTTATCGCGTTTATTTTTACTTTTTTATTTTTAATTCCCGACGTTTCGGGCGCTTTCCAGCACCCATGGTCACGGGGGACTGAGATGACTGACGTCCCGATGTCATTGTTAAACCCGGAGTACCTTCAGCTTTTTTTAATTATTGTTTATGGTCCGATCTATGCAAAATGAACTGACTATGTCTTGAGGTCTTGCAGTGGTATGCTTGCGTTTAGTTTTAATTTTATTGATTATAGGATCCCAAGCAGGTGGTAGTACCCAGCCTCCTTCTCTATTGAAATTAGGATGTTTTTTTAATTTCAATAGCCTCACGTATCATCCTTGGTAGGAATCGGTGTTCTTTCGCGAGGATTTGTGGTCTATCAAATCTGATGTAATGGTTGGGGCCGTCTACTGACAAACAAACAAACTGCAGACTTCCATCTGATCTGACTGATCATATCCTAGACGGCCCCAACCATTACATCAGATTTGATAGACCACAAATCCTCGCGAAAGAAGAATAAAATTAAAACTAAACCCAAGCATACCACTGCAAGACCTCAAGACATAGTCAGTTCATTTTGCATAGATCGGACCATAAACAATAATTAAAAAAAGCTGAAGGTACTCCGGGTTTAACAATGACATCGGGACGTCAGTCATCTCAGTCCCCCGTGACCATGGGTGCTGGAAAGCGCCCGAAACGTCGGGAATTAAAAATAAAAAGTAAAAATAAACGCGATAAAATCCGTAAAGTAGTTTTAATCATGTGCAATGTTCGCGTAAATATAAGAAATCATTAAGTTAAAAATGATTTGTATGGAAATCGTTCACAATCGTTATATACGTGGTAGAGCCATGCTGCAGTTATATTAGTAGTATAGTTGTAGTACGAATGGGTCGGCTCGACCGTGGAAGGACCAGACTCTCACAGAATACCAGCGTAAAATGGCAGCTTAACGCGTTTGTTTTGTATGGTGTGTTTAGAGAACGGGAGACCCTTTTTACTGGAAACGAGGCATTCCATCTTAGTCCTCACGGGTGACAGCGCATCTGCATTTTGATTTGTAATCGTGGATAGATGTAGATGTCTATGGGCCACAGCAACCACTTACCATCAGGTGGACTGTGTGCTCGTTTGTCACCCTATTCTATAAAAAAAACATTTACAATACAAGATGGGGCGTAACGCATCTGTGATTTTCTCGTTTTTTTTTTTAAGTTAGTTGCAGGTGGTTCATGGATAGCAGTAGCTACTATCAAGTGGGCTTTAGCCAGTTTTTACTCTATCATGCCATAGCTGCAAACATGAATAATTGATTTCACATTCAATACGATGGTTTTAAATTAATATTTTCTTACCAGACCTAGAGAGCGGTGGTAGCTCAGATGGTTAACGCTCGCTGTAAATATAACAGAACGCGAGTAACCCGGGTTCGATCCCCGCCGGCACTAATGAAATTGTTAATTGCAATTTTAAGTGCTGATTTACCACGTGCTCGGCGGTGAAGGAAAACATCGTGAGGAAACCTGCATGTCTGAGGAATAAGAAAAAAACTATTTCGAAAACATGTGAAGTTCGCCAACACGCATTGGGGCAGCGCGGCGGATACTTCCTTGCCCTAAAACCCTCTCAGAAATGAGGGGAAGCCTCTGCCCAGCAGTGGGACGTATATAGGCTTTAACTTTACTTACTTTTACCAGACCTTACGGCATTGGTGTGGCTACGGGTGAAATGTGCGCTAACCGCGTAATGTTCAAACAGTTTCTTCAAAGCGGAGGCATGCAGTTTTGCCAGATTGATTCCGCACGAATTGGCGGCATTAATGAAATATTGGCTGTCTACTTGATGGCTGAGAAACTCAATGGTATGTATCTTAAATATTCAAAAAGAATACATTTTTGATGTTGCATATCTGCACATTATAGATATAAATCTTCAACTACAACTTAAACTTTAAATTGTCTGAAAAACGGCTTGCAGCAAAAATCGATTTCGATAAAAGCAGCAAGCCTTAAGGTACTTAAAAGATGCTCCCTACCCTATCATCATCATCATTACAGCCCTTCACAAGTCCACTGCTGAACATAGGCCTCCCCCAAGCAATGCCACAAAGCACGGTCCTGAGCCACAGCCTGCATGTCTTACCAGGACGTCACTCCATCTAGTGGGGGTCGCCCTACACTACGCCTACCGGTACGAGGCTGCCACTCAAGAACCTTTCTTCCCCATCGGTTATCGGTTCTCCGAGCTATATGGCCGGCCCATTGCCACTTCAGCTTACTAATCCGTTGGGCTATGTCGGCCACTCTGGTTTTACTGCGGATATCCTCATTTCTAAGTCTATCACGCAGAGAAACTCCGAGCATAGCCCTCTCTATAGCTCGCTGAGCGACCTTGAGCGACCTCATACGGCCAGCAGTGAAGGACCACGTCTCAGATCCGTAAGTCATCACTGGCAACACGCACTAGTTGTACACTTTTGTTTTCATAGATTGAGGTATACCTGACGAGAAGATGTGTCGTAATTTCCCGAACGCTGCCCAGCCGAGTTGAATCCGTCGATTGACCTCTCGGTCGAAGTTGGACTTACCTAGTCGGACTATTTATCCCAGGTAAACGTACTCGTCAACAACTTCGAGCATAGTGCTCCCAACAACTACCTACCCTACCACCCTATGCAAATTGTAAAATACTAAATGAAATAAAAGATTATTATTGAAAAAAAAAATATGATTAGATTATAATGATTTCTTATATTTACGCGAACACTACACATTGATTAAAACTACTTTTACGGATTTTATCGCGTTTATTTTACCTACTATTATTTTTAATTCCCTGCAACTACTAACCTCTGTAAACTGCAAGACCTCAGGACATAGTCAGTTCATTTTGCATAGATCGGACCATAAACAATAATTAAAAAAGCTGAAGGTACTCTGGGTTTAACAATGACATCGGGATGTTAGTCATCTCAGTCCCCCGTGACCATGGGTGCTGGAAAGCGCCCGAAACGTCGGGAATTAAAAATAATAGTAAAATAAACGCGATAAAATCCGTAAAAGTAGTTTTAATGATTAGATTAGTTCTGCCGCCAAGCAGCGCTTCGTACACTGCTGGTGTTCCGGCTTGTAGTCTATAAGAAGTGACAACGCACTTGTCTTTGTTTGATCAATTGAAGACTTAAGTTCATTTTTCACTAAAGATTTAATAAAAATCTTTTTTTTTTTTCAAATAGCTCTATAGCATGTCAATTTTAATTTATTTGATAACATGCATCTTCTTAGTAAAGGTGTGTCCCCACGCCGGGGGAGTAGGCCTGTGTGAAATGGTACAACACTTACAGTACTGGGACTTCGCGAGTCTGTCCGGCACTATGGAAGGTCGTCTTATCGAGTATGTGGACCAACAACATGAACATTTCTACGACCCCTGCGTAGTGGAGAATGCGAGATATCTTGCACCCAAAGTAAGTTTACTTATCTCCGTCATTCTGTTCGTATATTGTGTACTTTGTTTGACTATGTATCAGTGGTAGAGAGTAAGTAAAACTTATAAAGTTATTGTTCTTTGTGGTCTACAATAACGTGTTTCTATATTTTTTTTCTATATTATGGTACTCTTTGCTTAGACGGTATATGACAAACTTTATATTGGTATCTATAAACCTTATTGGAGCAATTTAAACTTGTACAATTCCTTAAGATAGTAAAACATGTATAGGGCTTGACTTCTAACCTTTTTTACAGCCTTTTTGGTTTTTCGCAATAACAAAAGCCAGGAAGTGCTTGCTGCTTTGCTGTCATGGGTCTCGGAATTCACTTATCCTTGGAATGTTTTAATTTCTATGACATGCAGATAGATTTCCATACTGTTATTTTTAACCGCCAAGCACACCATTTAATTTTTAAAAGATATTGAGACACTGCGCGGCGGAACCTGCAATCTGCCTTACGAATCAACCTTACGCAAAACGCACTAGGCCATTTCTTCAGGATTTTTGTAGTGCCAAGTTCTAGAAAAAACAGTAAGAGTAATTTTTTTTCAGTTACCCGGATACAGCACGCAATTTCTACCGGAGACATTACAAAAGTATGCTTACCCCAATGGCAGCGAGTGGCAGCGAATGTTCAAGGAGGGATTATTTTCGCCGCCCGATGAAGCTGAACTAGCAAATGCTTGAAGAAATCCATCATGTCAAATATAATATATACTTTATTTCACGTCTCTAATTAAAATTATGTACAAATAAATAAAAAAACATTTTTAATACCAGTCTCGTCACTTAGTTATCGAAATATGCAAATCCTTAATTATTTACTCTGTGAAGTTAGTTATAAAATTACATAAACAGCAAATCAAATCCAATAAAAGGCACTAATTATGTTTTTTTCTGAAACGCGAAAGCACTAAGTTTAGATTGCTTTGGAGCATTAGCAATGGGGGAATCTGCACTACTTTCTTCTTCAAGTTTTCTCTTCTGTGCTCCTTCGCCGTTTACACAAGTTTTACTCTGCACACTCTTGAATGTTCTAATACATTGACGTGTCAATTCTGAAGGCGTTAAATCTGGATGTTGTTGTTCCAGAATGGATTTATATCGCGAAAACCAATCGACAAATGTTGCACCTTCATGCGGCTTCAAAGGCTGATGAAAAAAAACATATGTTAGAACTGAGCCAAACATAATTTAAAAAAAATTAAATTTCATTGATATATTCATACGGTCCTTTTTCAAAAAATCTCTGAAATATATCTATTGGCTACAATGAGTCTTTGGTGGTTTTAAGCAGCAAGTATAATATACAATACTAGCGAACCGCCCCGGCCGGCTTCACACGGGACATTTCTAGATCTCGACACCAATGCCACCTACCGGCTTCAAGTGTGAATCTAAACCACCCACTCAAACACACACAATAAATTTCATCACAATCGGCCGCTTTTTAACTTTAGCGAGACTAACAGACACCATTTTAATTTTTATATACCGAATGACTTTTTTACAGTCTGGAAATAAATAGGGTGTAACATGTTTTTTTTTATATAGAAGAGGGGGCAAACGAGCATGCGGTTCACCTGATGTTAAGTGACTACCGCCGCCCATGATCAACCGCAACACCAGGGGAATTGCAGGTGCGTTGCCGGCCCTTTAGAAAGGAGTATGTGAACGGAGTAGAAGCTTAATATGGCACTGATATTTTACATAAAATAAAAACAATTTTTTTTAATAAAATAAATAAATTGGTTAAAATCTATCGAAATTCAAATCATATCCACCTTACTTTACGAACGCCAATAAAACAATAAATTTGGTAGACATCTTTACCTTGTCACTTCGCAGGATCACAGGTTAGGGTGGATCTACTCTAGCGGCTTTTACTCCGTTCACGTGTCACAACCCTATTTTTTTCCAGACGGTAAAAAGGTTGTCCAGTATAGAGATAACAAAGTGGAACATAGCACAGAAAAAAATACCATGAGAAATGCAAGATTAAGGCTTCTGGAATGGTTTATTGGAGAGCCGTGGTAGCTTAAAGGGCTAAGCGCTTGCTGTAAATTCCACAGTAAGCCAGCAACCCGTGTTTGATCCCCGCCGGCAGCAATGAATTTGTTAATTTCATTTTAAGTGCTGATTTATCACGTGCTCGGCGGTGAAGGAAAATATCGTGAGGAAACCTGCATGTCTGGAAAATTAAGAAAAAAAATATTTCGAAGACCGTGGGGTCTGCCAACAATTGGGGCAGCCCGGTGGACATTTTTTTTTTTATAGAAGAAGGGGCAAACGAGCATGCGGCTCACCTGATTTTAAATGACTACCGCCGCCCATGATCAATCGCAACACCAGAGGAATTGCAGGTGCGTTGCCGGCCCTTCAGAAAGGAGTAAGCTCTTTTCTTGAAGGTCCCCAGGTCGTATCGGTCCGGAAAAATCGCTGGTGGTAAACTATGCCACAGAGAGGTCGTACGCGGAAGAAAACTCCTTGTGAAACGTACAGTGGTGGACCGCCAAGCATCCAGATTGGTGTGGATGGTATCGGGACGTTTGACGTGTAGTGCGTTCACGAAATTTGGCGGCTGGGATTAATCCGAACAATTCCTCAGAGCACTCCCCGTGATAGATGCGATAAAATACGCAAAGAGATGCAACATCTCTTCGCAGCGCCAGTGAATCGAGCCGATCGGAAAGCACTCGGTCGTCGACGATTCGAGCCGCTCTGCGCTGGATGCGGTCAAGTGGAAGAAGCTGGTACCGGGGAGCCCCAGCCCAGAGATGGGAACAGTATTCCATGTGCGGCCGAACCTGCGCCTTGTAAAGTTGCAGGCGGTGTGCCGGCATGAAATACTGTCCCGCTCTGCTGAGCACGCCAAGCTTTTTAGAGGCCAATTTGGCCTTCCCTTCCAAGTGACCACGAAACTGCACGTCACTCGATATGTCGACGCCGAGGATTCCGATACTGGCTGAGGCAACAAGGGGAGTGCCTTGAAACTGAGGTGATACGACAAAGGGGTTCTTTTTAGCGGTTAACGCGCAAACTTGTGTCTTCTGGGGGTTAAACTGGACTAGATTTAGTCGCCCCCAATCCGAGACTCTGTCCAGCAGAGACTCGACTTCAGACACAAGTTTGTCCCGGCACTCGGAGGCGTTTTCCCGAGAAATATTGGCTCGGCCGGTGTAAAGAGCATCACCAGTGCTGTCATCTGCATAGCAATGAATGTTACGGGTATGCAACATGTCATTGATATGCAGAAGAAACAGCGTTGGCGATAGCACGCAGCCCTGTGGAACACCAGCATTAATAGGCTTGCAATCGGAGCTTGCACCGTCTACAACGACCTTGATGCACCGATCTGCAAGAAAGCTGGTGATCCAATCGCACAATTTCTCGGGAAGCCCATAGGAAGGGAGCTTTCACAACCCTAAAACCCTGTGAGAAATATGAAGATGCCTGTGCCCAGCTGTGGAAGTATATAGGCTGTAATTTTAACTGGAATGGTTTATTTATTACAACGCAATATTAACTTGTGACATTAATTTTTTATGCTTAATTAAAAAATATTAATTTCACTTTACCACATACAGAATATAATTTTATTATATTTTTATTTATAATTGTTACATTTTTTATATAATTCTGTCTTATTCACAAAAAAGTTTCAAAAATATAAAACGGCAAAGGTCAGGCAACTAACCGTCCCAGATTGTGGCGGGAGATTTTCCAAATAAAATCTATTTTATGTCAAGAGTTTTTATGGCTTTAATATGAAAATAAAATAAACAGGCACATCCGAGTGCAGCTATCTATTACTAATGATTTCTTATATTTACGCGAACACTACACATTGATTAAAACTACTTTTACGGATTTTATCGCGTTTAATTTACTATTAATTACTTTTATATTTAATTCCCGACGTCTCGGGTGCTTTCCAGCACCCATGGTCACGGGGGACTGAGATGACTGACGTCCCGATGTCATTGTTAAACCCGGAGTACCTTCAGCTTTTTTAATTATTGTGTAATGGTTCGCAGACTGCGGAACATGTTCAAGATCGTCCCCACAATTACATTCGATTTGATAAACCACAAATTCTCGCAAAAGAACACCGATTCCTACCAAGGATGATACGCGAGGCTATTGAAATTAAAAAACATCCAAATTTCAATAGAGAAGATGGATGGGTGCTGCCACCTGCTTGTCCAAAAAAATTAAACCCAAACCTAAGCATACCACTGCAAACTCATACTATCTCGTTTTGCGTAAATCACCAAAAATTAATATTCAAAAACTGAAGGTAGCCGGGCTAACAATGACATTGGGACGTCAAACATCTCAGTCCCCCCCGTGACCATGGGTGCTGTAAAGCACCCGAAACGTCGGGAATTAAAAATAAGTAAAAGTAGTGAAATAAACGCGATAAAATCCGTAAATTTAGTTTTATTCAATGTGTAGTATTCGCGTAAATTTAAGAAATCATTAAGGACGCGTTTGCAAATCAACCAAAATTAGGGTGTTTTTCGGTAGATTTTGTGACAAAACTAAACCAAATCAAATATAAGTAAAAACTACCATGTATAGATTGGTTCTTCATCTGCAAATGTCTGTAACTCTTTTGTTGAAAATAGTAGTTTTTTATATTGTAAAAACGAACTTTCGTTGCCATTTTCTACAAAATTAACGATACCGGCTTGTGTTTCGGTATATGTTTTGGTCTATTATCAACATATTTAAAAAATTTAAAAAATACTATAAGATGACAGACATATTCAATTAAAAAACCCTGAGTTTATTTTTTAACAAAATGTCACAAATAGTCGTAAAAAAAATAAAAACTGATGCACATTTTTTCACATATTTTGGTAATACGGATGAATCATAATGTATTGCAATAAGGGCTATTTTATTGTTGGTGCCTGCTTTGATTTATTGTACAAAGATTTCGATGAAACCACAGTCCGCGCTCGGCCGCCGTCGTGAGTGGACACTGTATCGCCTGTTTGCAGTGGCTCATTCTGAAAAGATCGCTGTACATACACAAAATATTAGAAAAAAAAACAAATTGGAAACATAAGTACTTGACAAGTGATAAAATTATTATTTTTATACTCACAGTTTTTTATTTCGCTAAAAATAAGTAGGATATATAAACTTACCTACTACTGCAACTCCTGGACGAGCGGAACTAGGTGTGCCGAGTTTGGGCTCGTTTTGTTGGTTATGATGAGACCTTACCTCCGCACTTGATGGTGTGACCTGAAGGTGTACTTTCGCGACCGCTATTTGAACTTCTTGTAGAGTAAAACTAGGTGTGCCGAGTTTGGGCTTATTTTGTTAGTTATGATGAGACCTTACCACCGGACTTGATTGAGTGACCTGAAGGTCTAAATCGGTGATTGCAACTGGAACTCCTAGACTGGTAGAACTAGGTGTGCCGAGTTTGGATTCGTTTTGTTAGTTACGATGAGACCTTACCACCGGACTTGATAGAGTGACCTGAAGGGGTAATTCAGTAACTACTGCTGGAATTTCTGAACGAGTAGAACTAGGTGTGCCGAATTTGGGCTTCGTTTTGTTAGTTATGACGAGTCCATACCTCCGGACTTGATGGAGTGACCTGAAGGTGTAATTCAGTGATTACAAGTGGAACTCCTAGACTTGTAGAACTAGGTGTGCCGAGTTTG